GCACTGCCTCGTGGTGGCCAGGATGCTACACCTACCTGGGGAGGAAGCAGCCTTTTGGCAGAACCTGTGCCAATCTGCGCCTCAGTTTCCCCATGCAACCTGAGGCCCATGTAAGGCTGTGCAGATCACAGTACTCAGAACGGAGACAGAGGCTGCCCTTTGCCTGCTACTCTTCTCAGGTGGCTAGAGGCCACTTCAAAGTGCGTCTCTGTCTAGAGTCATCCTGTAAGGCCAGAAGGAACCTGGGACAGAGCTGCAGCTGCCCAACTGGCCTGGTGTCTACATTCAGGTGAGGCGTGGGTGGCCTCAGGTTCTGGCCTCTGGGCTGTTGCTGCCAGTGTCCACCAGCCCCAGGACCCAGGGTGGGCCATCCTGGGAACATGAGGACACCATTCTCCACACTGTGGGTCTGCATCCTTCCTGCTGCCAACCCCAGGCCCTGGACAACCTGCTGGGACCTGTCCAGGCCTGCCTTTCCCCACAGCAGCTGTCAGCCTTGGGTGTGGCCCTGACAAAACATTTTTTGGTGGCATCCTGCAGCTGGTGGGGCATGGACTCTAGGTTCGAGATAGGATGGGGGCACAGAGGCATAACTCAGAATTTCAGGAGTGGGTTTTTTTCTCCAGGAACCCCCACCCCACTGGAGCTTAGGGGCCCCAGTCTGGAAACCATGTCCCTCCCACATTAGTCCCACATGCACACAGCTCACCTCCCTGGTGGCTCTCAGCTGCTGGCAGGGACCCTGATAGACTTGCAGCTTGGTTTCCAGACACGGGACACGCTTTGCAGCCTCCAGGCCTTGGGGGCTAATCCACAAAACGTAGCCTTCACTGCTCAGGTGCCCTCTTCACAGCAGCTGGGCAGCAGGGTTCCTGCACACCCTTGCTCTGCCCAGAAACTTCTCAGCCCTGCCGAGCCAGCCCTACCTGCCCAAGCAGCCTCTGCTGGGCCACACCCTTGGCTACCCAGCCCAGGTTCTGGGGCCAGCTTTCACCCTTGCTACACCCACCTGCCCCTCCTTGCAGCCTGCAGGCCTGGACCTAGAACCCCTGACATCAAGATGGCTTTCTGGTGGCTATTTACCAAGTGTGGGGTGGTCACTGCCACGAGGGTCACATCACCAGGGTGGGGTGATGCCTGTGTCCCATAGCAACTAAGGTCCTAGGTGACCAGCCTGTCTCCTTCCGGCCTTTCCTTCTGTCCACAACTCTCCATTTCCCCTTCCTTGGTCCCTGCATCCCCAAGCAGCCTCAGGGAGGCTGGGGACAAGCACCGCTGCCACACTCTCATTATAGCCATCACATACCGGTTCACAGGACTACTGGAACATGTGTATTTTGGGCCTTTCATAGGCTGAGAACCATGGTTCTCCAGGCCCTGGGGATAAGGATATGCACTGGTGCGGCTCAGGGAGGTCGCTGCTCTGTCCCAAGTTTCATCTGTGAGAAACATTCCTTGTCCTTAGATGGTGCGGGCTGAAGGCTGACAGATGGTAGAGCAGGTGCCTGAGTCCTGGCTGTGGGTTCAGAGAGGTCCATGAGTTTCTGTGGGGCTGCCTGCGCTGCTGGGTAGCTTTTCTTGGAGCTCTCTTTTCCTCCTCCTCACTTCCTGTTTATCCCAGTGCCTTCTCCTAGTCCTGCCTTGCGTTTCTTTCCAGGTCCTGGTATGAGGAAGGCAATCTGTCCTCAGCTCTCCAGGCCTGTGCATCTAGGTATGCCAGGCCTCAAAGCTCAGCACTGCCTGCCTTCGGCTCCTGGGGGCCCCACGTGAGATGCCACACTCATGCGGAAACAGTCCAACACATTCTCATGCAGTGCTGGCCGTATCCATCTCTGAGCCCCAAAGCAGTTCTCAGCAATCGTGGGCTTAGTTTTGAAACATCAGTGTTCTCAGGGCTCGAGGGTCTTGGGTCTCAACTTTTCTGCAGGAACCCTCACTTCAGCCAGGACACCTTTTACCTACACAGGCAGGCTGGTCCTGTTTTTCTTGCTATGATGCCAAATGATAAGCTCCAGTGATAGCACCTCTCTTCCGCCACCAGCACACCATGCAGGCCTGACTTCACCCCACCTGTTGGGCCTTTTCCCTTTTTTCAGTTCCCCTCCCAAGAGCTAAACTGAGCAGTCTGGGCCAGCTCACTCTTTACTGTGTGGTCTCAGCCTGTGCGTCACAGTCACTGGTGTGGGGGAGGCAGGTGGTCAAGCTCCAGGATATAGGAGCTGCCTGATCCCAAGGACAGCTGCCCTTCTGGAACTTTCTACCTTCAAGGTGTGCTTGAGCCCTGGGAGAGTGGGAATGAGGGAGGGGTATGAGACACCTCATGCAGCTCAACAGAAAATTGGGAAAACTAGGGGAAGGGGGTGACCCAAAGGCACAGACTTGCAGACCCTTTCTTGCCTGCCTCTGTGCAGGTTGGCACACATCAACCCAACCTTCACTACCACATTAGACAGCGAGGGCCTGGAAATTGTAGTTTGATGGCTGGGTAAGCACCAGACAGAGGCCTTCATTACAGATCTGAGTGCTGGTGGCTGGGAGTGAATTGTTTGTACAGAGAGCTAGTGCATTGTGACTCCTTGGGGAACCAGCCTGATTCCAGAGGGATGTGGGAGTGTGCAGGGGTCCCTGGCTGAGCTCCTGAAGGTATTTACTGTTGAGTATTTTTTGTGGCACTAGGATCCAGCTCAGGGCCTGGAGCAACTGAGGGAAGTACTGTACCTCTGTACTGTACCTCAAGCCTGTCTGTTCATACTAGCAGAGTACTTTGAGCAGCTCTGAGTAAGTGTAATTTAGAGGAGGCCCTGGGGGACTAGGGTCAGCTCCAGGTCAGTTTTAGTATCACCTTCAGGCCAGGCCACCTCAGGGCCACACAAATAATAGGGACAGAGCTGCCTTCTTGCCCTGACCACTACTTACTGCCCTGGCCAGCACTTACATGCTGGCGTCTCTGAGCAACTCATCTTTCTCAATTATCTCTACTACCTGCCTCTTAAGTAGGGGGTGGGGGGAAAGGGGTCATGGGATCCACTTAAGAGGCAGAGACCTGTCAAGGCTGGCTCTTAGGAGGCTCTCAAAGGAAGAGCCTGAATTAGAACCAGACAGAAACCTGGAGGAAAGATTGACCTTGGCAGATCTGGGAGGATTGTTATTCCTTTGGTATAGTTAAAACAACACGGGGACAGAGAACCAGACGGGTCTGGTGGTGGGAACACTAGGTCCCCAGGCTCCTGGCTCATCTCACTACCAGGGTAGCTTTGTGGCCTTCCCTCTTGCCTCAGTTTCCTTGTCTGCAAAAGCACAGTGTTTTTTCTTTGTTGTTGTTTGCCAGACAGGTGCTTAAGCTACTGAGCTATCTCTCTGGCCTAAATGGTGAGTTTTGAGGGCTGAACAGAAATAGGCCACATGAACTAGTGCCTCATTTGTGGACCAGATTGGGAAACTAAAGCCACAGACCTGAATTCAGACCTGACTGGTGCAGACCAAGGGTTAGCTTCCCTGGATCTGTCCTGTGAAAAGAGCTCTGGCTTTTTGGACAGAATCAGCTTTAGAGGACAAGTAGGGATACTTATAGCCTGACAGTGAGTGAAGAAAACTTTTGCTCCAAAGCCTGCTCCACTGTGCTAACCTGATGCCAAATCTTCACTTGTAGTCGAGCTGAATTCTCCAAAGCAGACTCCTGCCCCACTCTAGCCTACCCTAGTGGACCCAAGCACTTTCTTCACTCCAGCAGCTTGTGATCCCACCTGTTTTTCCTTTTTGAGTTCATGCTTCTGCAGCCTTTAAGATTTGTGGGGTTCAGCTCCTCCACAGGGCTGATGCCAATTGGGATGAAATGTGTGGGGTTCTATAGGAGATGCCTATGTAGAAGTGGGGAGGGGACCTGGCAGACTGTGGGGGCTGCCCTCCTTGCTGGGCTTCAAATAGGACACTGGGTGAAGCTGTGGTCTGAGGAAGGCTGTCTGTGCTGTCTGGACTCCCTGATCCAAGTTGGTCACAAGAGTGGGTCCTGCCTGCCAGGGATGGATCTGGGATCTCCTGAGGGTAGCCCTCAGGTGGTAGGGCACAGGTATACAGATACTCCTATTGCAGGAAGGAGCATGGGGACAGCAGACCTACTTTCTCAATTTACTCTCTCTGCCTGGCCTAGAGAAGGGTTCCTAAGAGCAAGAAAAATCACAGGTCTGCAGGAGCCACCAGTTCAAAGACAAACCAAATACAAACATTCCTTCTTCATTTCACGCACACGCAGGTACCACTTGAGCCTTCTGTGCATCCTTGATCCCAGGAAGGGCACCATGTACTTCTCTGCAACCCAGTCTCAGCCACCCCTAGCTGCCTCTGCCTTCTCACCGGAGACCATCAGAGCCTCAGGTGGGCCAAAGATTTCACTTTGTAGCTTCAAAATTCCTAACTGGAGTAGGACTGGTGATGCTGGTCCTGCTGTAGGAGGGACAGCCCAGGGTTCAGGCTGCCACTCAGTCAATTCTGTGGCACAAATGCCACTCTAAAGCCAATACCGGATCCCAGCCCTTAACAACCCTTGCAAGTGTTTCCTAGGACTATTTCTAAAGGGTGGACCTAATCCTACTCAAAGCCCTCCAAGTTCCTCACTGAGCTCAGGATCATCCTACAGCCACCTGTCCCTCACAATGGTCTTCTTGTCCAGCCTTAGCAGCCACCTGCAGTGCCACCTTTGTTGTCCTTGATATATCCCTGACCTCTGTACACTGTTCCCTCCCATCACAGAGGGGGTGGGGGCAGGCAGACAGAAGCTCCTGGCACTCTTTATGAAAGTACAGAACACCAGCTGGATGGAAGCCAACCCTGAGGACCCACTGGGGAGGGGCAGGACAACAGCATAAACAGAGGCACTCCTAGGACTCACCTCCCTGGTTAACTGTGGATGGCATTTTTGCCAAACATGAAGTTTTCCTCTCACCTGAGGTACATGAAACTGAAGTCATAGTGTGACCAGAATTTCTCAGTGTTATTAAGAAGGATGGTGAAGTATAACGTGATATTTACTTTCAATAAAAAAACTCTTCCTCCAAGTGACACTGCCCATGGAGGGCCACGAGTCATGCCAGCTGACTCATACTGTCCATTACCAAGTAGATGCAAGGATCAGAGCCCCTTGAGAACCATCCCCAATGTCTCTGCTGCTTCTGCCACCCACTGCGATGCAGTCACAAACAGTGAGGGTCTGCCTGAAGAGACGAAGGTTTTTTGTGGCAACAGTGAAAGCTCTTCCTTTTGACTGTGCCAAAGGGCTGGTCTATGAGACCCCGCAAAGGGACTGTATCCAGCTGGTCTTGCTGAGTGGCATGTGCTCCTGACTCCAGGTCACCACACCTGGCACACTCGGATCACCTCCTTCAAGGCCTTCAACCCCTCCATGCTCTTGTCCTTCACTGCCATGGCGAGGAGGACTGCTCTGTTTCCAGCTTCTTGAGACACAAAGGACACCAAGTTCTTTGCAAAGACATGGATGAGAGGCTGATGAAAGGGAGGAAACCATGGTGACTACAGAGATCCTGGATTTTTTTTTTTTTTTTTTTCTGATGCTTTCATTAAGTAATTCTGGCTTCCCACACTACAATTAAGTCTGACGCTGCAATGACTCAAAAGCTCCAGGAGGCACTAGAACTCAGGTGTAAACAAACCACTACAGAGGCATCATTAAGCTTATTTCCTTGGTGCCATCTTTGTCTCTCTCTCCACCTATTTCTAATCTGGAAGGACTCATGAAAGACAAGCCTGCAGAGGGAGATGCTGTCAAGTGTCATGGAGCACATGCAGCCACTCATTAACATAATGTATCAGGACAGGGTCAAACTGAGGAGGCAGCCCGCATTACAAAATCAATATCTCCACTTATCTGCTGGATAAAATGCTGACAGGCTGGGAAGCGCATTACCAAGGGCAGGCAGATGCCCTCAGACCCACAAAGGTCCCTGAGAAGGGTGCCTCTGTTACGCCGTGTGTGTGTGTGTGTGTGTGTGTGTGTGTGTGCGCGCGCGCACGTGTGTAGATGCTTCATAGCCTACTGAGAATCTGCTGCCAGGAAAGAGGTTTCTCTTCCACCCTGGGGTTCCTTCCCAACCACTCTACCTCATCCTGCCCGAGAAGGACTTTTGTGGTGAGCACCGGCTTGCTGATGTCGTTGGCCACGTTGCTGGGCTCCAGGGAGACCAGGGTGCCCATCTTCCCGAACTGGGTCACCACCACCAAAATGTGGCTGCTGAAGGCCGTGCAGACCACCTGCGTGGGGACTCCGCACACCACTTCCGTCTTCTGTTTCGATACCACCAATGGTTTGCTTTCCATGGTCCTGCTCTTCAATGGCGGCTTTAATTTGGTTTAAAAGGACAAAGATAACAAGGACTGAGTCAATCAGTGTAGGATATGACATGGGGCTCCAATAGAAGTATCATATAGCTTTAAAACAGACGCACAAGCAGGTCCGCACAGGATTCACGCGGGACTCTGGCCGCAGGATGACTAAATAAACCGCCCCGCCCCCCACCCCCGCCCAGTTTACTGGGGCTCGGGAAACCGCTCGCCACACGCATACATCCAGTTTCCTTTACTGGAACCTGGGAGACTACCCACTCCTCAGAAAAACAGGCCTCCCGCCTCCCCCCAGGTGCAGCTCACCACTACACGCCGCGCCGGATATGGCACCGCGAGAGCGACTCGGCCCACCCCCTCCTGCCGGAAGTGCAGGCCTGGGGCTTCCGGTCCTGGACCGCTGGGCGCCTGGTCCGTAGGGCGCCGGCTCCGTAGTGCCTCCGGTTCCGCTCTATGTGATGGTCCGGGTGTCCGCTTTGCGGGGAGGGCGCTGCAGCCAAACTCAGGGTCTCCCCGGCGTGCTGAAAGCGCGCGTGGGGTATTACGCGAGCCCCGGGCTCATTGCGGCGCGCCGGGCACTGTCTGAGCGGTTACCTACTTTTTTTTTTTTTTTTGGTTCCAGGAATTGAACTCAGGACCTTGTGCTTGCCCGGGAGGCACTGTGCCACTGAGCTATATCCTTGGATTGTCTGAGCGTTTACGTTGAAGTAGCAGCACCTTTACTGTTTATGTCTCAGGTTCCGGGGGCAGAGCGACCCGTGCCCGCGGTGAGGCCGCGGCAGAAGAGGCCCCTTCCCTGCCAGGTGCCTGCATCTATTAGTACCTGCAAGCTGGGGCTGGCATTAGCAGCAGGATAGATGCATGGGTAGATGACAGAAAGTGGCTTGAGCCGTGAGACCTTTCCCGGCGGTGAACTCTCCAAAAAACCCTCTCAAGTTTTGCTGACCATACACTTGGTCCTCAGGAAGCCTCCAATCGCTGGATTCTCGACTCCCTTGCCTGATTTAATGCTTCCCTTTCTATCCATCCTTGGTCAAATCAGATGAAGCCCGCTCCTTCCAAAATGATTTCTGATGTTGGCGTAAAATAAAAGTGGCACATACAAAACACGATCAAAATAGACCATAAATCAAGAAGTTCATTTTTTAAACATTCTTGCAGTGGGCACACAAAGGAAAAGATTAGAGTTTCGTGGTGCTAACACTCAAGAAGCAGGAAGCATATCAATTTCCCAGCGAAGTCTTTTTCGCCTGTTCTAAATTTAAACACATATCCACCCACACTCCCCAAAAGTAAAATGCCAGTATGTTGCTTTGCCAAGTGAAATCTTCAGAGGGGGCACTGATTTTATTCGCCTACTTATGTATTCTCTTTCAGGCAAAAGAGGCTGAGGAAATCTGACTCTCACCCAAACAAAAACCTCAGAAATAGACTTAACCATCTCAATAAAAGGGATGTTGGAGAACAAGGTGGACTACATTTTCACGCCACTGTTAAGTGTTAGTCTGGGTCTATGATAAAGACCTAGTATGAAGGGAAATGAGGTGAAAGGTTGTCCTAGGTTGAGTTGTGTGGTCTAGGCAGGGGCCTTGCTGGTGGCCTAAATGGATGTTTGGGTAGAATTTACACACTTGGAAGGATGGGTAGAAGGTCTCTACCTGCTGTTGATTGTTCTCCATTTCATAGGGTAATTGTGCTGGAAAGAAAGACCCCTTACGTGGGAATCAAATGATATCAACAGGGGAACAAGATTTTGAGAAGTTCTTGAAGAATGAACATACAAACAAGAACCACCCTCAAATAGCATGAATTTGTCTTATAGTCAATAAATTTTGGTCATGTATGCAACTGTGCATTAATTTGTAGAAACAACAATGAATCAAGTGCTGATTTGGCAGGGTCCTAATTTTGCTAACAAATTGTGTGCTAGCTCAACATATTATCTTTCCCATTGTGTGTGATTTCCCCAGCTCTGTTATAAAGAGGGTTGGTTTTTTGATAATTTGCAAGTGTGCCATTAATTTTCCTAAGAGCCTCTCATAATCATTTGATATTCAAATTGTTTCTTGTTGAAGTGCCAGCAGGCGTTGGCCTTGGCAGTTTCCTCCTCCTCAATCATTTGCCTGTCTGGCTTTGCCAAACCCTCCCACACTTGCCAATGGCTTTGGGCTCTGTCTGAGCACCCCCCACCCCGTTACAGTCCTTGTATCTCTGGAATGATTTACAATTGACTTTACATTTCACTGTACTTACAATATGATTCTGGGTCCTTTCATGGAAACTAGGGAAAGATATTAGAGCTATATGAGGAGGGAGGTTTGAGTGGAGATCAGTATGTGAACAATCAAATCACTAGTGTAGCTCAGCTTATGGTGCATACCTGTAATCTCAGCAATCTGGGAAGCTGAAGCAGGAGGATCAAAAACTCAAGCCCACACTGGGCAATTTAGTAACTTAGCAAGACCTTGTCTTAAAATAAAAAATAAAAAAGTCTAAGAATGTAGCTCATTGTAAAGGCCCTGAGTTCAGGTCCTAGTACTGAAAAAAAAAAAGCTTTTAGTGCAACTTTTGTATTATGATATTTTCCTATGCAACTGCATAACAGCAGGGACTTAGATGACCAAATCTTTAGACTATGAGGATTTCCTACATGTGATCTCTCAGACTGGGTAAAATTTGAGGCTTTAGAATCAACCATTTTGGCTTTCACTAACTGTGGTTTTGGGGAATTTATTCTGTTAGCCTCAGATTCTCAACTTGGACATAAAGATACAATTGTACTTGTCGCATAGGCCTTCGGGAGGAGGTTTGTATAGTGATTCCCTGGAACATCATAAATTTAGCTATCAAATTCATTATTAACCAACTCTTCTCCCTATCCTTAAATAAATAAAATCCTGCTGCAGTACACAGATGAGCAACAGCGTGAGCACAAGCATCAGGACCCAGTGGGGCCCTCATTCAAGGCGCTGTTAGCTGCTCCTGACCTACACTGTGGGAACCTGCTGTCCCCCAGGTTCTGACCACCAGGCTCGCCACGGTCCAGGGTCTGCATGAGCAATAGTCCTGTGGACACAACATCTGCTCTGTGTGTCTGTGCTACATGATAACAGGTAGAACCATTTTATTTATATAAATGATGTCTTCCTCATTTCTCTCAGACAGGTTTTTATAAGGAACCAGTAGCTAGAAATATATTTGTGGTATAGGTCTGAGTAAGGTGTTAGGCATAGACACTTTATAGAGATTATGTATTTATATTAGTTTACAGAGGCTAGAGATTTAGGTTTTATTTATATTATTGATTTTTAAATTTTATTTAGATCACTGATTGTTTCATTTTGTTTGAAATGGGGTCTCTCTGTGGAGTTCCAGCTGGCCTTGAATGGACGGTGGCATTCCTGCCTCAGCCTCCCAGGTGCTAGCGTTATAGGCACTCATTGATATTTTGGAACAAATGAAGGGAGCTACATCCACTGGGATTCCTTCAAGTGTAGGTGACAGATGCTTATGCAGAACACCTTGCAGAAATGAAGGCGCAAAGACCCCAAGGATTCTTTCTGCCTGGACTTCGCACATGTCTTGGATCGGTTCTTAACTGCATGTGGCCTTCTTTCAGTAAAATTGCCTGTGGTTCTGGTTCTTCCTCAGCAGCTTTTCTTGCTCTGTATTCCCAGTAAAAGTCCCAGATAGATTCTCTTTACAATGTGGTACACTTACGTCCCTGAACTGATTGCTGTTTTTAAAAATGAAGTGGAGGACCAGTCAGATAGCTCAGTGGACTAAAGTGCCTGCTTAGGTCAAGCACAGGGCTGGGGTTCGAGCCTGGAGGGCCAAGCCAGCCATGCCCCGGGGCACACTGAGACAGCAATTGAGACTGGGCATGCTGGCGCTTGCCTGTAATCCCAGTGCTTGGGAGGCTGCAAACAAGAGACTCACTATGAATCCGATCTACATAGTGAGACCCTGTACTAAATATATTCAAAAAAATGAAGTATCAGACTTGTAGAGATCCTGTACCAGATAGGATTGGCATCCCCAGAGCTGTCTCAGCATCCTCAGTGCTTAGATTACAGGCAAGCACCACCACATCCAGTTTCAGGGGCTGGCACAGCATGCAGTACCTGGGATCAGAATCCCAGTCCTTGCACTTGCCAGGCAGGTGCGTAGGCTGCTGAGCTATCTCACCATCTCCTCCTTTTCTTTCTTTTTCTTTTCCTTTTATTATTTTTTAAGACAATAAAAATTGTTTTTTTTAAAAAAGAGAAACAATAGAGAATTTCACTAAACAAAATAATAGGAATTCAACAATGTTTGTTATATTGTATAAAGTTGCCTTCAAATTAGTTGTTTGTAATACCAGACATATACATGTGAAATTGGTTTTAAAAAAAGTTATAAGAAATTTAAAAGGACAAGAAAAAATTTAAAAAAATGACGTAGAGCTAAATGTGGTGGTGCATACCTGTTAGCCCAGCACTTGGGAGGCTGAGGTAGGAGAACCCCTACAACTTTGAGGCCAGCCTGGGCTACATAGTGAGTTCAAGGCAAGCTTGGACTATGTAGCAAAACTCTGTTTTAAAAAAAAACAAACAAAAAAACAGAATGCAAGCAATGACTTTTTGTGCATTTGAGAGTTAAAAAATACTTCTAAATTGTGCAGACCAAGTGAAACCCTGAAGACACTGTAGATCCTTCCCTAAAATACAAAATAAATAAATAATGCAAACCAAAGATATCATAACAAAAATTCTGTGCTGTGTAGAACTCCCTGTTCTGGACACCCCTGGAAGCCATCAACTCTATCTCTGCATCTGCTGTCATGACATTTCATAGAAATGGAGTCGTTGGTGGCCTCTAGCATCTGGCTTCTTTCCCTGAGCATCACACCTCCGAGGTCTGTCCACGGTATGCCAGGCCTTTCTTCCTTTGGGAGAAATAATTTCTTGTTGAATCCTTGCAAGGCTTGCATGGCATCACATTTGCCAAAGGGCCCTGTCCAAACCCTAATTTGTAGGAGGTGCCAAACAGAACATCTGCCTCTCGCGGGATATGGAAACCACCATGCCAGTTAGTGCGCAGATGCGAGTGGTGACCAGTGCTTCCAAGTTCTACTCTCCCAGGCTTCTGTGAGAAGCAGAGACTAGCCATGGCACCACGACCAACCTACTCACTCCTAAATCCCTCTTCAGGGCCTGCTAAGTGTCAGAGCAACCTCAGCACCACCAGA